GCAGTTCAGGCTGGTGTTGAACTCACTTTGTAGTCCAGGTTGGCCTCGAACTCACAAGATCCTCCTGTTTCAGCCTCCCGAGTGCTGGGATTACAGGCGTGCGCCACCATACCTGGTAGTATTCCACTCTTCAATTCTATGAATTTAACTGTTTTGGGTACCGGGCCTTCAGCACGCTATCTTCCAGGTGCACCATGTTGTCACACATTTTGCAGAATTCCCTTCTTTTTAATGGCTGAATAGTACTTCATTGTGTATACCTGCACTACATTTTTAAAAGTCTATTGCTGAACGCATAGGTCATTCCCACGTTAGCTACCGTGCACAGGGCTGTAGTGAGCACAGAAGAGGGTAATGTCTCTTCAGGATCCTAATTTCAGTTCTTTTGGATAAATACCCAGAAGTAGGATTGCTGGCTCATAGAGCAGTTTGACTTTTAATCTTTTAAGGAATCGCTGTTTTGAGCGCTGTTTTCCACAGCGGCTGCATTTTGTATCCCCATCCACAGTGAGCAAGAGTTTCAGCTGCTCCACATCTTCACCAACACTTGTTATATTTTGTGTTTGTTCATAATCACCCTGACAGACACAGGGTGGTATCTTCTTGTGGTTTCGATTTCCATTTTCCTGATAATTAGTGACACCGAGCATTTTTTTCACCTACCTGTTGGCCACTGGTGTGTCTTTCTTTGGGGAAATATCAATTTAATGTCTTAGCCCAATTTAATTTCTTACGCTTAAGTTATTACAAGTTCCTTATGTATTTTGCAGATTAGCTCCTTAGCAGACACGTGGTTTGTAGCTATTCTGCCCCATTTCCCAGATTGCCCTTTCAGCCCGTTGATTGCATTGCTGTGCAGATTTTAGTTGGAGATGGTCCCACGTGGGCAGTTTTGGTTTTGCTGCCTGTGATGTTGGTGTCATAGCTATGCATGTAATCACTGCGGGGTCCAGTGTCCTGAAGACTTTCCCTCGTGTCTCAGACAGCACATTAACGGAGCCAAACGCCACGCTGTGTGTGGCACAGTGGTCGAACGCTTGCCTCACGTGTGCAAGGCCGTGCGTTCAGTCCCCAGCACCGCAGAACGAGCGAATGGAAAAACAAACGAACAAATGAATGAATGAAAAGTTTTAAAGGCTCATGTACCATGTGGATTTACCCCTGGGGTAAAAAGATTGGCCGACGTGAAAATCAATGAATGTGGTTGTCCAAATTAACAGAATAAAGTATAAAAATCACATGATCATATCAATAGATGTAGAAAAAGCCCATTTGACAGAATTCGGCATACTTGCGTGACAAAAATGCTCAATAAAAGAGGAAAAAAATATATATATACATATATATATTTTGTTTGTTTATTTGTTTGAGACAGGGTCTCACTATGTAGTCCAGGCTGGTCTTTTTTTCTTTTTTCCAGGCTGGTCTTGAACTCACTATGTAGCCCAGGCTGGCCTCCAACTCACAGTGATCCTCCTGCCTCAGCCTTCTGAGTGCTGGGGTTATAGACTTGCATCACCATGCCTGGCTTAATAAACCAGGAATAAAAGTTACTGTAACACAGTAAAGATCGTGTATTAAAAAAAAATCATAGCTAACATGATATTTAATAATGAAAAATACTATTTTTACTCTAAAATTAGAAAATAGGCAAGAACACCCTTCCTTGCTACTTGTATCTTTGAAAAATATATCTTCTTCCTTTTTTTTTTTTTTTTTGTAGTACTGGAGTTGAACCCAGGGCCTTTACACTGAGCTGCATCCCCAGCCTTTTTATTTTTATAAGTTTCCCAAGCAGAACTCAAACTAGCAATCCTCCTGTCTCAGCCTGCCAAGTACTGAAATGACAGACATGTGCTGCCATGCTCCACAAAAAAGTTTATCTACTGTATTTGTTGAAAGGAACTTTAGCTGGGTGAGGGGGGACATGCTTGTGATCCCAGCACTCAGGAAGCTGAGGCAGGAGGATCGCTGTGAGTTTGAGGCCAGTCTGGGTTACATTACGATCTCTAGGCCAGCCTAAACTACACAGAGAGATGCTGTCTCAAAAAACAAACAAAAGGCTCTCTAAAGAAAGCGCACATACAAACCACAGAATGGGAGTAAATGTTTTCAAATTGTATTTCTGGTTGTCATAAATTTATTTAACATAAGTGCTGCCTCATCATTCATTTTTAGATCTGAGATAAGTTGGTTGAAACCAACCCTCCTCATTGCCTTTGGTTTAAACTTTCCATCCCTGTGGGTTTTTTCGTTCCACTGACCGAAACCTAACACATCCCACGATAAAATCTAATGGTCAACTCGAGTCATTTAAGTCAGTTTCTCCCTTTCCAAATTTTCTTTAAATGGTCCAACCCACCACCACCAAGAGAAAGCCTAAGGCTTCATACCCATGGACCTTAACAAAGGTGTAACCTGGGCAGGTCCTCTACTTCTACCCACTGGTTGAGCTCCCTGCCACTCTGGGCTTCTGTTAGATAATTTTTTTGTTTTATCCACTTGGGTTTTACCTCTTCATTGTATCTCACCTGACCAACACATCTAAACCTGATTTTCATCCTGGGCAGGGCTCTCCTTGAGAGTGGCTTATAGCCACATTTGACAGAACTCAAGACCAAATTAGAAGGGAATCTTGACGAACATTATAATACCGATAAAGTTCTAATTTCCAGAACATTTAAAGAACTCTTACAACTCAATCATAAAAAGACAACCCAGGGTTGGAGGTATAGCTCATGTAGCTATAGAGTGTGGTAGAGTGCTTGTTTAGCATCCCAAAACCACAGAAAGAAAGAGGGAAAGAAAAAGAAAGGAAGAAAGGAAGGAAAGGAGGGAGGGAGGGAAGGAGGAAGGACAGAGGGAGAGAGGCAGCTAAATTAAAACATAAGTAAAGCAACAGATGGAGGGGGAAGGTGAGGAGGGGAAAGGAATTTAAAAAGAATTAATGTGTTATGAACATGGAACAACTTCCCTTGATGAATGTAATCACTATGTACTGCAAACATATACTAATAAAAGCAAAAACAAAAAATAGGCAAAGGGTTTCCGTTATATATTTCACCACAGAGGTTTTACAGATGGCCAGTATGTAAACAAAAAGTGCTCATTATCATTACCTTTTAGGGGAGTGCAAGTCAAGCCCATAATGAGGAAGACTATATTTTTAAAAAGAACAAAACAGACAATAACAAAGATTGGCAAGGATGTGGAGAAAGCAAGACCCTGAAACCTTTCTGGTGGGAATGTAAGTGGTGTGGCCACTGTGGAAAATAGCTCCTCAAAAGTTAGGCAGAGGTACCGTGTGACTCAGCAGTTCCTAGGCATATTACTCAAGAGCAATATTGCTCATTTTTATGGTTCGAGTGTTTGTGTCTGTCCAAAATTCATGTTGAAACCTAATGATCTCATCCACATTGTGGTGGTAGTATGAGGTGGGGCCTGTGGGAGGTGATTAGGTCATGAGGGTGGATTAGGGACCTTACATAATAAGGTCCCTTTGCTTCTTCTGCCAAGTCAGGGTTCCGCAGGAAGGCGCCATATTTGAAAATGAGAGCAAGCCCTCACCAGATACTGAGTCTGCTGCCGTCTTGATATTGGACTTCTCTACCCGCAGAGAAGTGACCAATAATTTTTTGTTGTTTATAAATTATCCAGTCTAAGCTATTTTGTTACAGAAACCCAAACTGACTAAGGCATTCATAATAGCCCCCAAATGGAAGGAAGAATAGAGAGCTATGATGGAAATTTTAAAAAATTAGATAGTGGGAATATTTGCATAATCTTAGAAACCTACTAAAAAGTTGCTGAATTGTTTATTTCAAAGGGGCAGATTTTATTTATGGTATGTGAATTATACCTCAGTTTCTTCAAAAAGTAGATGTGAGAGTCCTCACTTATTTGTGCCCCATCTTTTGGATAAAGTTACTTTAAAAGTATCAGAACAAATGTATTGATTATCACTATGTGCCCCATAAATATGTACAGTTAACAAAATAAGATTATTTATTTATTTATTTATTTTTTGGTTTTTCTCCGGTACCGGGAACCGAACTCACGACCTTGCGCTTGCCAGGCAGGCACTTTGCCGCTGAGCTAAATCCCCAGCCCCCAAAATAAGATTATTTTAAATGAAAAATTATCAAAACTGTGTGTTAGCTACATTTTAAAAACTACATTAAAGATCTGAGTGTTTTTGCTGAAACTCTATTCCAAAACTAAAAAAAAGGTAGTGTATGTAATAGTAATTTCTATGTCCTTTTCAATACCTTGTAAATATTGATATTCTGCAATGAGATTGTCAAAAATTACATTCTTTGCTGTACTAATATAAATTGTATTAAAATGTCTTTTAAAATGTTAATAAAAATTATACTTTGTCAGTTTCTCATAATAATAGCTTTGATTTTTATTTTGAAAGATCCAACTATTTAAAAATAGAGTTTTCAAAATGGGGCATTTTTGGATTCATTGCTTATGGCTGATATAGTTTCAAATTAAACATTATTATTATCACTGTTGTACTGGAATTTATAAGGAGATAGATACCAGACAAGATAACATGAGAAAATATTTTCAGGGGCCGGAGCATAATGCAAATTCAAAATTTCTGGAAAATATAGAAAAGTGTCTGCAGTAATGCAGACACTTTTGAATTGCATTGAATTAAATTCAATTTTCCCTTGTATTTTTCTTCAGATTATTTAAAGTAGCAGGATATGAGCTTTCCTCATAAAATCTTTAACTTTTTTGCTCTATTACTTTCTTTTCAATGTATGTTTTAATTTTCCTAAGATAACAAAATCATTCCTATTAAACACTTTTCCTCCTTTTTACTCCTTGAATCTAGACACAGTTCAGTTCTTTGATTAGTTGATGCTAGAATTTGACCTGGAGCTTATATAATTAGAGGAGACACTAGTTTTCCTCATTTAAAAGCCTGTTAGGATATGACAGTCTCGTTTCAGGGCAAGTCGAACCTCTTTACTGCTTCTTTTTATAACCTTTAAGTTAATCTGAAATTCAGATAAGCCTTGATCCGAGGATGATATAACCACAGCAAGCACCATGGGGTAAGTGTGTCCTTTCATATGCTTTAAGAGGCATTGAAAGGAAAATATTTTTATAAGAGGAGAAAATTCATCCACCCTTACTATAAAGCATACTAATTTAAATTCAAATATCCTAACAATTAAAGATAGTAATTTATATATAAATGTTTATTCAAAAGTTGTAGCAATTTGCAAAGTATTCATTGACTTCTTAATTTTTGTGTTATGTCATAATCTACCTTTGCAGGTTGGTAGCTCATGAAATATTTAGGGAATATTTGAACTTGCTCTGCACATTTACATATTTAGTGGCAACCGGGTTAAATTTTGAGAGCAGTCTTAAAGAAAAGATAATAGAATCCTTGGTTTACAGACAGCCTAAATCCAACATGTATGTGGTTCTTTGGGCTAAAGAATAATTAGAGAATCAGGGATGGTGAAGCACGGATTTATGCCTTTGTAACAAAGAAAAAGGAGAGAGGATTTTGTCACTTCTCTATGTACAGAAATAAATTGTTGATTATATACACAGAGGCATGTCTTTGTGAAACCCAGTTCTAAATACTTCATGAAGTTCTGGGGGCATGATGAGAATTGAGTTTTATGTGAAAACTTTCCATTTTTAAGAGAGAAGAGGATTTTGTTACAATGTCTATTGGAATTATGACTTTTTACATGCTGAAATAGCATATTCTGAATGGATAGAAATCTGGCATTGTATCACCCTTTTATTTTTTTAATGATTTCCTTCAAAATCATTCTCGCAAATAACACAGCTTTTTCACTGAAGGCTACTTTTGAAGGATTCAACATAAAGGATCAGAAATTTATACTAGAGAGAAAGAAGTTTTTTGATACATTTATCCTAAACAGTATCCACAAATTTAATTAATGTCTACATTTTTGTTGCTACCATGGGCCTGAAGAGGCAAGCTACACCATTGGGAAATTCAGAGGTTTTCGAAAGGAAGGTCATAATATTGTTAACTTTTGACACAAATAATAATGATGTGTTTTGAAGTTAAAAGTTAAAAGAGAAGTACCATGCACAAATATTACATGCATGTGGTTGACTTTGAGACAGAATTGATGGAATTCCAAATTTTCTTTAATCTGCCTCCTTCCTTCCTTCTTTTGTGTGTATGAGAATGTGGCTTAACATAGCAAACCAGTAGTAAACGCTAAACTGTTCATTCCCCTCTGTGCCTCCCTTCTTTCATCTTTCTTTCTTTCTTTCTTTCTTTCATCTTTCTTTCTTTCTTTCTTTCTTTCTTTCTTTCTTTCTTTCTCTCTCTCTCTCTCTCTCTCTCTCTCTCTTTCTTTCTTTCTTTCTTTCTTTCTTTCTTTCTTTCTTTCTTTCTTTCTTTCTTTCTTTCTTTCTCTTCCTGCCTGCCTGCCTGCCTGCCTGCCTTTCCTTTCTTCCTTCCTTCCTTTCTCTTTAATGACAGCAGTTCTTAACCTTTTAGAGGGGTAAAGGATTGCTTTCTTCTGAAACCAGTCCCATTTTTCTGATGAAAAATAAAAGGAAAATCACACAAAATTTTGCACATAATTTCAGGAAATTTATAGTTGGCCTGAAGCTGGATTCATGGACATCCGAGTAAAGAATATGTGATTATGGTTTTAGGGATAGGGTATAAGTTGTTCAGTATTCTTCACAGTTTCTGGATTTTTATAAAATGTAAAATCTTTGTAAGTTAATAGTTCTTGCTAATCTTTTCTCAGGAACAGCCTTGAAATACTTACTGCCCACTCCCAATTTGCCTAAGAGAGAAATGCAGTTTAACAATATTTATCACATTAGCGCTGTTGGTCCCCGAGGACTTCATTAATCACTTGTGCCACTTGAGGGTACCAGGAACCACTTTTGTTGTCACAGAAGAAAAAAATACCCTCATTATTTTATCTATAGAGCACTTTCCATGCCCCAAATAAGATACACTAAGCAGTTTATAATTGCTAAATATTACACAGGATACTCAACTAACTAGTAGGCTTATGATTTACTTTTTGTTCGTTCCTTCCTTAGTGATAAAAAGATGTTAGTAGGTATTAAGACCTATTTAGGTCTTTCTAAAGCAATCACAAAAATAAGACGAGGAAGTAGCCGCTGATCAGATGCTCAAGTTTGTCCATTTCAGAAAATCTCTAGAGTTTATTCCTGAGAACAAGGGAGTCGCTGTCTTGGCTTTGTCTGTGAGACCTACTTATCTCAGAGCTATTTGAGGATACTATGCCTTTATATGGGTCCGTGTCAGCCCTCTCCTCCTTTCCTCCGGCTATGCTGGCATGGTTTGAGCGAGCACGAAGAGGCATCTATCAGAAAATTCTTACGCTCTTTACAAAGCTGCCGCCTCTTAAACTTTCACGGGGTTTCTTATGGCGCGTGGGGGTGGAGGGTGAGCGGTGGAGCATAAAGATGAGTAAAGAGATAAGTTGTGAGGGACGGAGGAGCCTCACTATGCAAGACACCCTGATACCTGCTATTTACCATGACGACCGGGAAAAAGATAAAGAAAAACATTTCTTGGCGCGGGGCGGGGGGCAGCTGGCAGTGCTGAGATTCTTCTCAATATTCTCCCCATCTCCTAGTGAGACAGAACCTGCAAGGCAGCAAAAGGTAGGTGTACCCCCTAGGGCGCCAGCTCAGGCTCTGTGACCCATTTACAGTCTGGAGTGTGTTCTTTCCTACCCCTTGCATCCCAAGCGGTCCTATCAACCTCAAAAAGCAGCTGTCTCCTGAAAGCCAGGATGTCTTCACCGTAACATCTCTAAGAATAAGCTAGACGAGAGAATAAAGCCGTTGGGGTTCACCACTGAGGGGCAGAGGGCAGACACACTCCCAGGCCCTTAACTTGTTCCTCTGACAGGTCTCTGCCCCACGCCCCTCCCACGTGAGCTCTAACCCGCCGCGGCGGCGCATCCTTATCACGAGGTAGGATGTTTGCCCAGACCGGGGCGCCTGGAGAGAGACGGCAGTCCTTCCCGGGATAAGCCGGCCACCCTTCCTCAAGGGCGAGATTATTCGCACTGAAAAAGCAAGCTCCCTTTGAAACTATGCCCAGGACCGAGGAAAATTCCCAGACTTTACCCCATCTCTTCCACCCTGCACAAGAAAAAAAATACTTGTCTTGCTTTTTTTTTCCTTTCTTTTTCTGTTCTTTTGCAACAGGGTCTCGCTATGCAGTTCAGGCTGGCCTTGAGCTCACTTTGTAGCCCAGGCTGGTCTCGAACATGCAACAATCCTCCTGCCTCAGCCTCCCGAGTGCTGGGATTACAAGTGTTCGCCACTACGCCCGGCCTGCTGCTTTTTTTTTTTTTTTAACGCTCTAGCCTGAATTTTCCTATCAGCACTGACCCCACGCCTCTCTTGGGGGCAGCCCCCTACCCCAATAAAGCTTTGCCAGAGCGTTCATGCATGTCCTCATTTCCACTGCCCCGGGCCAGGAGACCCCATGCTTGGTATCATTACTAGCACAGTTAGTCAGTGCATCAGCAGTTGACATCTGAGGAGAGTAAAGCTAAGGCTCTATGGACATGGTAGACTAGATAAATTCTTTCTGACAGTCTATTCAGCCTTTTACTTTCCCAGGTCAGATAAAGTTTAATTTAAGACATTCCCTTATGGAGATATTTTCCACTTTTGAATCTGAGAATTACAATTCAACACTTTTTCTTGGGCAAAGCATACACATAGCTCACATAATCTTTGAAATGTGACTTCCTTTCCTCTTTATTTTATTTATTTATTTATTTATTTTGGTTTTTTTTCTCCGGTACCGGGAACCGAACTCACGACCTTGCGTTTGCCAGGCAGGTGCTTTTGCCGCTGAGCTAAATCCCCAGCCCCTTCCTTTTCTTTCTAATAGCTCTTTCTCTCTCTCTTTCTCTCTCTCCCTCCCTCCCGATCAGCCCCCCAACCCTAACGCTAAAGGCCCCACCACCACACCCAGCTCTAAATAATCACCTTTTAAATTCAGGTCATCTTATATTTTGGGGGGTTATTAAAGAGATCTACTCACTGGCGTCTTTGCGGCTGGCCTTTCTGCCACACTGCCACAAAGGCCGCCTTCTCGCCCAGGACGTGTGATCTCGTTACTTCCCTGTTCAACAGCTGCCAGGGTCTCCTTATTCCCTCTACTACAGTGCAGGCCCCGGTCTGCCCCCCATCTCCCCCCGTCTGCCTCCGGTCTAGGTTAGCTTCTTCTTTACCCTCCAGGTTCTCTAGGGTCCCTAGATCCACCCAGGTCTTGTTCTGTGGCTGATCCCATTTTTACCATTTCCTGCAAAGCCCAGCTTAAATCCTGTCTTCTTCATATCCGCTAACTAATATCCGCTAACTTTCTCAAGTATTGTCTTCTTCATGAAACTTTCTCCTCTGGAAGTTCAGGCACTTTCTACGTTCTTAATGGGTTTATAACCCATCCTGTGTTATAGTTTATTTGTGTGATGTATCTTTCCTATTAGATTTCAGTTTTGTATTTCAGCACCTAACACATTGCCTTTTTTTTTTTTTAACATGGGAAGTGCTGAATAAATACTTGTTGAAATCAAATGAACTCTGTTTTTCCTATAATCTGCAGAAAGCTGAGAGCTCAGTTTTAGCCAAACTTTTTTTCTTTCCCCAACAGAGTGGCCCTGTTTTCTAAGTTCTTAGCTGAGGAGCTCAAAAGATGGGTAGTGATAGTGAAAGGGGAACAGTGTATAGACGCGGGCTGGGGTGACACACTAGAGACTTTTGAAGAGTGAGAGAGTTGTTGTTAGTAAATAAAAAGCACACAGAGACTCCAAGGAAATGTGGGAAAAGTTTGCAAATTAAAAATTGTCTTTGTCTCTGGATAACTTCCTAGGGGGCCAGCACATCAGTGAGGATTGAGTTCATTTGAAAATGATGAAAAAAAAAAAAGCCCAGAACAAGTGATTTAAACAAGTTAGAACGTGTATTTATTTTTCTTTTATAGTAAAGAAAAAACCCTCAGTGTTCAGCAATGCAAGCTGTTAGATCAGTGCCTTGGCGTGTGCAACCAGCATTCCTTTTGCTCACTGTTCAGCCATCCACGGTATAATGCTTCTTGGTCCAAGAAGATTGCCAGCCCCCCCCATGTCACTGCTATTAGCCAGCAGGAAGGTGGGAAGGAAAACAGAAAAGGTGTGTTCTGTCTTATCCGGAGACTTTTCAGAAGTCACCCCCACTACTTGTACTTACATCACAGGTTAGGGATCTGCTCCCGTGGTGCCACCTCTCTGTAGGGAGAGGGGGGTGGAAGCTGTCAGCGTCTGACAGACCCAGTGTCAGGCTTCACACTGTCTCCCGTGTTCTTTTTGGGCCAAGTACGGAATTATGCACAAAAGCAATACTTTAAGAAAACTTTTCAGCGAAGTTAAGTGGAAAAGAAAACTAAGCAAGCCAAGCAGGGAATAAGCATATTTTCACCTAAGATACAGGACAAGCCTCACAACCAAGGGGACTAAGCAAGCCTTTGCTCCCCTCCCCCTGCCCCCTTCGTCTCCCTTAACTCTCGCATCTGCCCTGAGCTGAGTGTTATGATTACGAGGCCAGTCGTACAGATCAGGAAAGGGAAGTCCAGAAAGATTCAGAAAATTGGCTAAACTGCCCCAGAAGTTTCAAAGAATGAAAAATAAATAAAACATACAGCTGGCTTGGGATCTGACGTACTGCCGACAAAAGCACTATAAATCATAGAATGTTTACCAGATAGATTTATACTTAATCTTGATTGTAGAGCACTTCAATTAGCTCCCACAGAAAAACATATTACAAACCCATTTCGCTTGTCTGGTGAAGGAGGTGATTTCACTTAATAGGGTAGGAAAAAGCTCTACATTGATGCATTTAGATATTTTAAGGTTAGATAACTACTTTGAACTCTTCTAAGTGAGCAAAGCCTCCTGAGCCTTGTTGAAGTATTTTAGCCATGTTAAGAATTTAGTTTTATTAGTCACCCAAAGTTAAAAATGCTGAGATTGTTGTGTCTACTTGAAACCAAGCAACTTAAAAATGAAAACGTTAAGAGAAATAAGGACTTTGGCTTTTTGACTTTAAAGAGTCCTGCAAAATTGGAAAAATTTAACAACCATGAATTGCGTATATAGTAACCTTTAATTACAGTTATGTGGGGGAAAGGATGGCATAAAATGCAAGGTGATTGTCATTTTCAATGACATTTTGTTTTTACAGAACTTCTAGAGAAATTAGAAGACTTCAAAAAATATGATGTGATGTCTCCCAGTGGAGACAGGGCAGGAGGTAAGTGAACATTGCAGAGAACTTGCTTCTAGACAGAACGCAGAGAAAATGAGAGTTTAGTTATTATAAATGGCTTGGAAAATTTTTATCAACCTCTTTTAAAACCCAGCAAATGTACAAATTACTTAGGGAATTCTTTAGACAAGAGTCAGGGCTAAAGGTCACCTTATAAATAGGTGTGTTACATCAGATTTCTACTGCTGTGTGAATACTTTTGCACAATATGCAGACCAGAAAGAGCCATGTTTTAACTGAGTTCTGTTTTCAGTGTCTTTGGAGGTCGCAAAAAACAAGCAAACCCTAAGAAAGACATTTGTTGTCATTGAACTAATATGTACCAAACCCCTACTTGTTGTATTGGGTCTTTTCATACAATAACTATGTAAGGTGGGTAACTACTATGGTTTATTTTACAGTTGGGGAGCCAAGCTCATAAAGATTCATGAAGTTTCCCCACATCACAAAACTAAAGTAGCAGAGCTGATGTAACTGCAGTTGCTAGTGAGGCAGGAGGATCACAAATTCAAAGCCAGCCTTCGCAAGATCTTGTCTCAAAATAAAATGAAAACGGGCTGGCAGGGTTGTAGCTTAGTGGTGGAGTGCTTGCCTCACATGTCCGAGGTCCTGGGTTTGGAAAAAGAGAAAAAGAAGGAAAAGAAAGGAAAGGAAAAGAAAGGAAAGGAAAGGAAAGGAAAGGAAAGGAAAGGAAAGGAAAGGAAAGGAAAGGAAAGGAAAGGAAAAATTAGTAGTGCTAGGAGGATTTAAAGCAAGGTATCTGGTACACATTAAGAAAAAATACTATAGTTTAAAACATAATTTTTAAATTTTAAGAATAAAAAGTGCTCATTGTAAAACAAACAAATGTGTAAATTACAGAAAAGTGTAAATAAAATTTGAAAGCCCATCCGCTAACCCCATCTTTCTTTCTAAATTAACCACTGCTGGACTTTTGTTCTGGATCCTTCCATAACTTCCCTTTTGCCTAGAGTAGTTTTCACTCTATCATATTTCTTGTCTATTTTTTTAAAAAAAGGAGGTTAAATTTACTACATATCTTGACTGGAGCAAGCATTACCTTTAAATGATAACTAAAACTCTCATTTAGTGAACATCAGGCATCTTACTGTCGAGATTCAAAGAAGAATAGAGCTCACTCTATTTCCTAAAGACTCAGAATTTAGTGCAGTGGTTTGCAATTTCTTTCTTTTTTTAAAATTGGGGACGGGGTTGAGATAGGGTCTTTCTTTGTAGTTCAAGCTGGCTTTGAATTTGCTGTGTAGCCCAGGCTGGCCTCAAATATGTGGCAATCTTACTGCCTCAGCCTCCTGAGTGCTGGGATCGTAGCTGTGTGCTAACATGCCCAGCTCCCAATTTTTTTTTTGAGGGAGTAATTATAGACTCTTTTAAGAGACTGATGTGAGCTCTGAACCCTTTTTCCCCATGAAAATGTGTCCACATAAAATTTTGGATGTATAGATGCCCTGAGTGTATATGGACTTCTAATCTTGTAAAAGTTAATAATTGACATAAATACTAGCACAGAGAGGTGGAGAGATACTAAGCAGCACAGAAAAACAGGGCTTAACTGTACTTGGACATAGCAGGAAATAAAGACAGAGACACACAGACTCTTGGACATCAGCAGTCTGACAGGCAGCCCGGGGGCGGGGAACGGTGCCAGCTGACGAAACAGCGTTAGTGGAGCCCAGGGTAGAAATGACAGAGGCCCAGGACTGTCCTCGTAAGGGAATCCCAGTGTGTGTAGGAAGCACTGACTGCAGAGAAGTCTGAGAGCAAAGTGGAGTCTGTTGGGTTAGGACATGTGAACTTCAGGAAGAGTCACTGGAGGATTTTGATCAAGACTTTGGTAGGTAGCTGGGCCTGGTGGCGCACGCCTGTAATCCCAGCACTTGGGAGGCTGAGGCAGGAAGATTGCTGTGAATTTGAGGCCAGCCTGGGCTACAAAGTGAGTCCAAGTCCAGCCTGAATTACATGGCAAAACCCTGTCTCAAAAAAAAAAAAAAAAAAAAAGACTTTGGTAGGAAGGCTAAAAATCTATAATGAACGTATCAAGAAATAAATGTTCCTAAGAATAATAGTTGGGATGTTTGAATAAGATGATAAAAGGAGACAAGTCTGCTTGATTTAGACTTAGGAGGGATCACTGGCTAACTAATATGCTATTAAAAAGATATATTGCCCAAATCAAATGGAATTGACTGCAAGGCCATTGCTGTTACAAAGGCAATTGTGACAATAAAGTCCTAAGGGTATAAGATAAAAGGAAGGGCTAGGTGTAAAACTCAGAATTTGGGCAACACTGGCCCCTCTGCTGTGGTGAGCCTGATGCAAAATCAAGTTAGTGTCAGTCCCTTAGGATGAGCCGCTCACTCTGGCCTCTGCGGCCTGCCCTGCCCCACCTCCGGCCCAGGTCCTCTGCTGTCTTCCGGGAGCTCCCAGTGGGCTGTCTGGTTTCCCACGGACCTTCTACATGCAACTTGCAGGAAAGAGACAGAGGGGACAGTGGGTCGGACTCTCAGCATTTCTACTGTGAGCATGTGCCGCTTTTATAACTGTTTTTGTAATTTAGGTTTTAAAACAATCCTTACACATAACGACCTAGCTTTTTCCTTTCTATCTGGCTGTGCTTAACCTACTACACCTAACTGAAATTCTCAACTTACTTTTTTTTTTTTTTTGTCTTTTTGAGACAGGGTTTCACTATATCATTCAGGCTGGCCTTGAACTTGTAGCAGTCCTCCTGCCTCAGCCTCTCAAGTGCTGAGATTACAGGCATGCGCCACCATGCCCGGCTTCTGACATTCTAATATTAGTCTCACCTCCTACTTCTTGGGAGTGCCTTCGTAAAGTCTCAGAGATATTTCACCTGAAAAATATTATTTATTAATAATTAAAGTTTTAGGCTTGGCATGGTGGTGCATGCTCATCACCTGGGAGGCTGAGGCAGGAGAGTCACCATGAGTTTGAGGCTAGCCTGGGCTACACAGTGAGTTTAAAACCAGCCTGAATTACAGAGCAAGATCCTGTCTCAAATAAATAAATAAATAAATAAATAAATAAATAAATAAATTGTAAGAGTCATAAAGGAATTTATCAGGCAGAAATTTAAAAGCACATACTCAAAGAAATAAGAGTGTGGGTCCTTAAAAGAGAGAGATGTACTATAGTTTGTAGCTGGGACTATCTATGTGCTTTTGGAGGTAGAGATCTGTGGAATTTGTAGAAAGTTCCATCTTTGTCTTGGTTTATAGGAAAAGGGTGGCCCACCTATGAAAAGCTAACAGCCCATTTTACAGGTGAAGGGCATGAGCCCCACCAGTTTATTGTTTAGATGGGAGACCTAAGATTTTGCCTTAAAGCATTCTTTGAACTCTCAATATGTTCCTTTAAGATCAAGTTTCTGCCCTTTACTTTATCAGCTAAACTAATCCATAGATTCAAAGTATCTTGAAGGAATTTGGGGTATGATGCCCTAAAAGAAAAAAAAAACATAAGCAATCCAGGGAATACTGATATAGATAATCTTGGGAACTTTGTGTCCTAGAATTGCCATCTTATTTTTTATTTTTTTATTTTTATTTTTTATTTTTAGTGGTACCAGGAATCGAACTCATGACCTCATGCTTGCAAGGCAGATGCTATGCCACTGAGCTATATCCCCAACCCCATGGAATTACAGTCTTAACAGTACAACTTTTAAGTTATTGCCTTCCTTGCTTCCCTTCTATCTATTTTTATTTCTTCTACCCTACCTGCCCCCTTTGATTCCTTATTCTTTTTTTTTCTTTTCTCATGGTCCCGGGAATTGAACTCAGGACCTTGCACTTGCCAGGCAGGCACTTGTGCCACTGAGCTATATCCCCAGCCCTGACTCCTTATTCTTAACATGTGCAGAAGGGCCAAGCATCTGTCTGTGTATAACTGCTTCTGGCTGAGAAGCGTTGATGCTGCCTAGCCGGGGGTTAAAAGTCTCACCCTACCTGACCTAAAGGAGAAAATGAAGCTAGGCTGCTGTTCAGTGAACTGCATCTTTTGATGGTCTGGAAAAGAAGAGTCACCTTATAACTATGTTAAATAAGCAGGGGCTAAAAATTAGAAGTAGAATATTAATGAAGAGTAGCTCAAACAGTTGTAGCAGTTAGACAAAATTAGGCACCACTTGGTGTAAGCCTTTTATTTTCAATAATAACCTCTATTTGTCCAGAGGTGTTTACCCAAGTACAAGTAGAATTTAAGAGCATATAGACTCTTTCCTGTTGGGTCAAATAAATCTAATGTTCCCTTATTTTAACTATGCCAGTGGTGAAGGAATACACTAAGTAAAGATACTGATGTTTTCGTGACCATTGGACCATTAAAATTTTTTACAATAGGGCTCAGAAGTTGGATCTGGCTGCTATGTTGTAGATCTGAAGACCTTTTGTAGTATCCACATCCAGGTAATATAACATATACGTTTAGTTTTTACTGCAAAGGTAACAAAGCTTAGTAGCTACAGTATTTATGATGCTGTTATTATTCTATAGGTACATCTATACAAGAAGCCAAATCTTTACCTGAGGGATACTTGAAAATCCATTAACAAAGCCGGATGAGGTGGCATATGCCTGTAATCCTAGCACTTGGGAGGCTGAGGCAAGGAGGATCATTGCGAGTTTGAGGCCAGCCTGGGCTACAAAGTGAGTTCAAGGCCAGCCTGAACTGCATAGTGAGACCCTGTCTCAAAAAGACAAAAAAAAAAAAAAAAAAGTCCATTAACCGGCCCGGCATAATGGCACATGTCTATAATTCCAGCGCTTGGGAGACTGAGGCAGTAGGATCACTGAGAGTTTGAGGTCTGCCTGGGCTGCATAGTGAGTTGAAGGCCAGCCTGAACTATATAGTAAAACCTTGTCTCCAAATAAAGCAAACAAGAAAAAATTAAACAAAAAAGATAGTTCATTAACATAGCATAAGGGCAATATACTAAGAGTGCTTGA